TGCATATATATATGTATATATATATACACACACACACACACACACACACACACACACGTATGCTTAAATTCTATATTACATCATGCAATGAAAGTGCAATGTTAATTCCCTATCACATATTAATAGGCATTGAGTTTGTGAGCTTAAGAAAATATATATTGAGTACAGTAAAAAAATTCCTCTAATTTCTTTGTCTCAGATCCTGTTTTAATAGTTTTCACCAGTTTTTTTTGTCCATGTAGCTAAGTGCTAGATACATTTGCATTACCAATATGTTATTCATATTATTTCCTATTTTGGCATATACCATAATGCATGACCAACTCAATGTCCTGTTTGAAAGTCATTTTGCTTTTGCTATTGTCACCTACTTGATAGTCTCATTACTTTCACTATCCTTGAGCACCTTAATCAAAGGAAGACAACTTAGAAAATACAAAACCAGTTTGAGAACTAAAACCACCCCAATCTTAATGAGATTTTACAGATGATTCTATACTGAAATCAACCAGAATTTCTTTAACTTCCATAACCAATCTGTGGAAAGGCCATGGAAATTTTATAAAGTTAGATTTCTGACAAAGTCTATGAATTTATGTCAACTCATATCAAAATAGTCATTAAATGGCCATATACATATTTTGTCTCAATACTAAGTAATTGGAAGTTATATTTTTTATTTTTTAGTCTTAAGACTTAATTTAAGACCTTTTAAAACCCTAGCTGTAAATGTTTTGGGATTTTTAGAATGGAGTTGGTTAAAGATTCATGGAAAAATACTTAAAAACATTATTTTTAAATACAGGAATATTTTTATTCTCTAGCTAATAATTTAGCATAATGAATAATGAATTATATTGAAGATGTAAAACACTAACGTGATAACTGTTGTAAATACGTTGATTCATGTTTTAATTCATCTTGCCTGCGTTTCATAAAGGTCATGGCTTGTTTTAAAAGGAGTGCATGCATGGATGATTCTATTTCTTGGATGTTGATAATCTGCAATACATATATAAGTAACATTTTGTGGATCATCAATAATAAATAATAAAATGTAATTATTTATGTATTAGCATGTACATATGCTCAATTCTCATACAAACATTTGCATACTATCACCTCTCAGTTAAAAAAAAAAAATGCTGTGAGGAACAGACCTAGCTGCCAATACTGTCAATATTAACAAAACCAGAAAATCACCTTACTGTACTAGCACAGCTATAAATATCATAAATAATGAAACCAAATGGGCTGAAGTCAGGAACATAGATAAGAGTGGATAAATAAGAAGAATTTTATTTGTTTGAGATAGAAGAGGAGAAAATGATGGGTTGTTGGGTGTAGCCATTTTTACAGGCTGAGGGAACAGTCTGTGTGTGTGTGGTATGGGGGGGACTTGAGGAAACTGGTAAAATTATAAAAAGTGAAGAATGGAAGAGACTAACTAGACAGGTAAAAAAGCTGTGAGGCAGAAATGAGTGATTAATTGAAACTGGCATTCTTATATTTCTGAGGTAATTTCCTCTACTCCAATGATGTTTCACAGATGCTGCTATGGACACATCAATGTGTAGACCAGTAAGACTTTAACAGTGTGATTTTTTAAGGATGAATGACGAAAACTACATTGTAATAAATACTTCAGGAAGTAACTACCAAGTGATATTAAAAGGTGGTCAACTTAAAATAATAGTAAATAAAAAATGCAGAAAGTAGAGTGTACTGTATTTCTAAAATGGTTAAAAAAAAGGAACTCAAGATCTTAATATATGGACTTAGAATGTATATAAAAAAACAGAAACTATAAAGGAAAAAAATGATTCACGAATCTGATTAACACAGTATTTCAAAAAAGTGGATGCTGGAAAACCATTGCAAAAACAAAACCAGAAGACAAAACAAACTAGAAAGTTTATCTACATCAAGGAGGATAAAGCATTAAAAATTTAAAGCAATAAAAAGCTGGGGAAAAAAAAAAACAAGAATAAAAAGGGGGAAAAAATCCCCAATTGAACCAAAAACATAATCAGGCAAAGGGGAAAAATAATTCAAAAGAAGAAAAACTACCTGTGTTAGTAAAACAAAGGGTCTGTCTAAAAATAAATATATAAAACAATAACTTTTTTAATGTAGTAAACTAAAAATAAAACATACAATCTTTCTTGAGGATAGTTTAGCAATGTTTCATAAGCCTTAGAAATATCTAGACCCTTTGACTTAATAATTCACTTTTTAGGAATTTTTCTTAAACAGATGAAAGTTTAACGCAAACATTTATATACAAAACTTTATACTCTCCTAGCTATCCAACATTAAGTGAATGCTTAATATCATAGTATATAAAAATGTATAAAGAAAAATACTAGAGGTAAGTATTTAGTTGTGGAATTTAGGCTTTTTGTAAATCACATGGTAAGAGAATTTCTCTATAAAAAATAGGTATCAATATCTATAGCCATGTACCTTTTCATTAAGACAGTCAATTAAATTGTCCACATAAATTTTCATGCTTTTATAGAATTTAAAATTTAGAGCTTGATTTGATGAATTTTCTAGGTTCTGGATGGTATTCTTTGAGCTCTTGACATCTTCTACATATTTTTCATATTCCCTCTGATGTGAGCGGTGAGTATCCTGTAGTAATGTTAATCTATAGAAATATAATAAAGACAAATAAAAACTGACTTATTTTTCATACTTTCATTTCTACTATAGTAAGTAGCAGTCTGATGAAAGTTTTTCAAAGCTACCTTACAGAGACCAGCAAGGAAACTGACAAGCACATAAACCTGGGCTTATGAGACTTGCTGAGCAGAGGAGAGCATCACAAAGGAAGCGGACTCGAAGGGAAAGGTGGGAAAGGACACTTAGGTTTTTAGGTGCTCAAGCTAATAACAGGGTATTTTCAGTCCTTTCCTTTTGCATAAAATCCTGAGTTATATGCAATACTACATGAAATAGTTGTAATTCTAGTTCTTCCAACTAAAGGAGTATTGAAAAAAAACAATAAATGATAGTTAAGTTGTTACAAAAATAATCTTGAATTAAGGCAACTTCATTATTTAACATCACTACTGAAAAGCACTGATGTAGAACTAAGGTTGGAGAATTTTTTCTATGAAGTCCGCATAGTAAATATTTTGAGCTTTGGAGGCTAGATGGTTGTGTTGCAACTATGTACTCAATTCTGTGTTGTAGCATGAAATCAGCCAGACAACACATAAATGCACAAGCCTAAGTTCCAATAAAACTTTTATTTACAAAAACAGCTGTGGGCTAGAATACAGAGATAACATAATATTTAAAAACTGCTACAATTGAAGATTTCCATATATTTATTTCACTATAAAATGCTATAAAATGTTTCCTATGTCAAACCATTTAACTGAACAACTATGACCAAGACATTATGGCTGCAATATGATAAAGGTATGAAGTTACTTTAAAGCTGATTTATACAAAAGATACAAGGGAGGAAAAATTTAACCTCTTCCTAGGATATCAAAAAAAATTCCCAGGTATTAAAAAAAAAAAAGAAGAAAATTTTTAAAAACACAGTACTTGCAAAAAAAAAAAAATACAGTACTTGCTTTGAGAGGAGAAATAAAATCTCTCCTTGTATCAAATATTATAATAAATAATTAGACTTTTACTATTAGACTTATTCTTTTATACATCTAAAGATGCACACTACATCCTAAGTAGTAAAGCAGAAAACATTTAAAATGAAACAAACTATTATGGGGTTTGCCTTAATTTGAGCAAAAATGCCATTATTTTAAGATTAATACTATTTAAAGGAGCAGTAGAATAAAGCTGTGTTTTGAAAGGTAATCTCTATCAAGAGCCATAAAAATATGCATAACTTCCCAGCTGGTATGGCTCAGTGGTTGAGCATTGATCTATGCACCAAGAAGTCGCTGGTTTGATTCCGAGGCAGGGTACATGCCTGGGCTGTGGGCTTGATCCCCAGTGTGGGGCATGCAGAAGGCAGCCGATCCATGTTTCTCTTTCATCAATGTTTCTCTCTCTCCCTTCCTCCCTCTCTAAACATTAAGGAAAAAATGTTTTAAAAAAATATGCATAACTTTTGCCAAGGTCAACTTTCCCTGGATATTTATTTTAAGAAGTAATATAACAGATGAAATGATCTACAGAAACAAAATGTTCATTATCTGTAGCATTATCTATAATCAAGAAAATTTAGAAAAATGTCCAACAGAGAAATACTTAAGTAAATTATATATCAACTATATGGATGAATATTACTATTATGCTTTTTATTTTTTACTAGAGGCCTGGTGCATAAAATTCATGCACTGGGGGGGGGGGGGGTCCCCTCGGCCCGGCCTGTGCCCTCTCACAGTCTGGGAGATATCCTTAGCACTGCTGCGGAGGCGGGAGAGGCTCCCTCCACTGCCACTGCACTCACCAGCCATGAGCCCGGCTCCTGGCTGAGTGGTGCTCCCCCTGTGGGAGCACATTGACCACCAGGGGGCAGCTCCTGCGTTGAGTGTCTGCCCTCTGATAGTCAGTGCACGTTATAGTGAGCAGTTGAGCAGCCTTAGCATATCATTAGCATATTACACTTTGATTGGTTGAATGGCCGACTGGACGACCGGACACTTAGCATATTAGGCTTTTATTATATAGGGTTATAGTCAAAAAATTTTTAGCAAAATTTATAATCTTAACCACTTTAAGTTCAATATAATAGTATTAACTACATGTACATTGTGAAACTGATTTCTAGACCTTTCTCATCTTGCTGAACTAAAACTCTATGTTTACTGATCAACAATGTAACTGTAACTGCTGTATTTCTAGCCCTTTCCTCCTCTTCCCCATTCCCCTGGCAACCACCATTCTACTTTTTGTTTCTAAAGTTTGTCAACTTGAGATAACTCATGTAAGTAGAATCATGTAGTATTTATTTATCTGTGACTGGCTTATTTCACTTAGTTCTCAAGGTTTATCAATTTGTAGCACGACAGGATTTCCATTTTTTTTAGGTTGATAAATACTCCACATTTTCTTTATCTATTCAACTGTTGATGAATACTTGGTTGCTTCCACTTCTAAGTTATTACAATTAAGGTCTGTAATGAACATGGATGTGCAAATAGCTCTTCAATTATTTTCAATCCTTTTGTCTATGTACCCAAAAGTGGGACTGCTGGATCATGTAATTCTATTTTTAGTAGATAATGTAGTTTAAAACTATATGATATAGAAACCATAGCCAGAAAAATTATGGTTGGCTAGGGTCTGCAATTAGGTTTAACTAATTCATTGAAGTGTAAAGTTGGATTGTTGATTTGAGATATCCCTTCTTTAATGTAAGCAAATAGTTGGATCTTGTTTTTTTTTATTTTTTAATTCATTCAGCCACTGGAAGTATTTTGATTGTAGAGTTTAATCCATTTATATATAAAGTGATTAGTGAAATGGAAGGAGTTACTACTGCCATTTTGTAAACCATTTTATATCCATTTTGTCTCTCTTTTTCTGTCTTTCTACCTTCTTTCTTTGGGGGGGAGAGGTGAGGGTGGTAGTGATATGTTCTGGAGTCTTTTCTCATTTTCTTTTGTGCCTCTTTTATAGGTATTTCCTTTGTATTTACCACAGGGATTACAAAAACACTTTATGTACGTATGGATGTATGTATGTATATATTTATTTTTTAAATCTTCCCCTGAGAATATTTTTCCATTGATTTTTAGAGTAGAAGAAAGAGGGAAAGACAGAAAACTAGATGTGAGGAAAAACACACCCATTGGTTACCTCCTGGATGAGCCCCAACCAGGGCCCAAGAAGGGGAGGAGCCTGCAATCGAGGTATGTGGCCTTACCAGAATCAAACCCGGGACCCTTCAATCTGCAGCTGACATTCTATCCACTGAGTCAAACTGGCTAGGGCTACAAAACATTTTAAAGTTGTAATAATCTACTAATTTGGTAATAATCACATACAAAATTTCTCCTTTACATCTTCCCCTCCACTTATTATTAATGTCCTACATTACATTTTTAAATTTTATATTCATTAATATATAGTTGTTTTTTTATATTTTAATTTCTATATCTGAATTAAAAGTAATTTTCACACCACCCTTACAGTATTACAGAATTCTGTTTGTCTATATAACTTTACTAAGAACTTTATATTTGTGTATGCTTTGTGCTGTCTAGGGTCCTTTCATTGCAATTTGAAGGACTTCTCATAGCAATTTTTCTAAGGCAGACCTAGTGGTGATGAACTTCCTCAGTTTTTATTTATTCGAGGAGGTCTTTATTTCTTCATCATATGTGAAGAACAGTTTTGCTGGATGTAGTATTCTCAGTTGGCAGTTTCTTTCTTTCAGAACTTTTGAATATATCATCCTACTCCATTTTGGCCTGTTTCTGTTGAGAAATCTATGGGGCTCCCTTGTTCGTGATAAGGTGCTTTAGAAGCTTTCAAAATTGTTTGCTTTTAGAAAATTTTATTATAATGTGTCTCAGTGTAAGCCATTTTGGCTTCATCTCATTGGAGTCCTTTGAAGTTATTGAAATTCATTTTCTTCCACAGATTGTTAAAAGTTTCTGGCCATTATATATTCACTAGAGGTCCGGTGCATGAAAATTCGTGCATTCAGGGGCATCCCTCAGCCTGGCCTGCACCCTCTTGCAGTCCGGGACCCCTTGGGGGATGTCCACCTGCTGGCTGAGGCCCGCTCCCTGGGGGGATCGGGCCTAAGCTGGCAGTCAGACATCCCTCAGGCAGCCTGGGAGCCCATGGGGGATGTCCAACTAACAGCTTAGGCCTACTCCTTGTGGGTAGGACATCCTCAGCACTGCTGCAGAGGCGGGAGAGTCTCCTGCCACCGCCACCACTATGCTGGCCAACCACGAGCTGGCTTCTGGCTGAGCGGCACTCCCCCTGTGGTCAGTGCACGTCCTAACTACTGGTCATTCCTGGTTGTTCTGCCATTAGGGTCAATTTGCATATTACCCTTTTATTATATAGGACAAACTCTCTGCCCGATTCTGCCTCTCTACTTCTTCTTGGACTTCCATAATGTATACAGTGGGGCCTTGACTTACGAGTTTAATTCGTTCCGTGACAGAGCTCGTAACTCAAATTACTCGTATGTCAAATCAAAAAGTGAACGAGTGAGACACGTGATGCTGGGCTGATGTTGTGGCGTTCACTGCGACGTTCGCTGCGCCAACTAGCGATGGGGTATCTGAAGCTGGCTCGTAACCCGAATTTTAGCTCGCAACTCAAAGCAAAAAATCGGCCGAGAGACGGCTCGTATCTTGAAAAACTCGTTAGTCGGGACATTCGTAAGTCAAGGCCCCACTGTATATTGTTCTGGTTGATGGTGTTCTATGAATCCCTTAAACTTTCTTCACTTTTCTTCATTCTTTTTCCTTTTTGTTTCTGACTTGATAATTTCAAATGATCAGTCTTACTAGTCACTGTTTCTTTCTTCTGCTTGATCAAGCCCATTGATCTCCTCTAGCAAGCTTCTCAATTCAATTACTGTATTCATCTCCAGAATGTTTTTTTTTATAGTTTCTCTGTTGATATTCTAACTTTGTTCATGTATTATCTTGAGTTCATTTAGTTGTGTTCTCTTATAGCACACTGAGCTTAAGAGGATTAGTATAAATTCTTAGGTAATTCACGATCTGTTTCTTCAGGATTGGTTTTGAAGATTTACTTTGCTTCTTTGATTGAGCAATGTCTCCCTGTTTTTCCATGTGTTTAGTTATTTTTGTTTTGTTTTGTGTATTTGAAAATGCTTTGTACTGGAGAGGAACTTCACCAATCAGCCTGGCTAGAGATTCTTTAGGGAGAGGGTGTGTTCTCAAACTTTTTATGGGGGATGCATCTTCTCTGGGCTTCTACATGAAATTTCCCAAATACAGAGGTTTGTGGATTTCTTTGTCAGGAGTTCATAGTCTCTTGTTCCCTTTGGCTGGCTCTGCAGTAAGCCACTGAACTCTCTTTTATCTTCTGTGGCCCCAGGCATTCAAGGTATGACAGTTCCCCATTAGTGTCCCAAGATAGATAAGGCAGAAATTAGTCCTTTGGGCAGTCTCCCTAAAAGAAAGAATGTTGGATGTATGTTCCACTCTTCTTTTTCCCTTCCAATGGAGAAGCCATGAGTTGAGATTTTTCTCTTTAATCACAAGCAGTGATGGCTTATGGGAGGGGCTGATGCAGATGAAATGAAATGGCTTTTTTTACCCACTACAATGTGACTATTCTTGGCTTTGAGCCTACCTGGGGTACAGTGACTTCCTAACTGGTTTCTGGTGTTCTCAAAAGGCTTTTAAAACACATATTGTTGTAATATGTGTTTACATATCTATGAAGGAATGACATCTAGAGTTTTGTATTCTGGCACCTTGGTGTCATCACTCCCAATATAATATTTAAAAAATTAAGGGCTATTTAACAATGCAGATAAATGTTTAATACAACACTAAGTAAAAAAAAACACAGAATTTCCCCAGCCTGGTCCCTGGTCAGGGCATGTGAAGAAGGCCACCAATCGATGTGTTTCTCTCACATCGATATTTCTCTCCCACTCTCTCTAAAAATCAATGGAAAAATATCCTACCCCGAAGAATTTGATATTTATTGAATTTAGCCATGTAATACATACCTCTTATAAAGATTAAAAAGACATATATGAAAAAAGAAATCAGTTGTGCTAGTGTGGTAACATAGATGATGCTATTTTTCCTATCAATCTATTTAAGATTAATACTTGTATTTAATAGTTTAAAATAATATACATATAGTGCTAACTTTTCACTATTAAATATCTAGGACAAGTGTAAATTTTAATATGAATATTACTTACCTACTATTTAATTGCTTCTTTATAATTTCTAAATTTACTGGTGGAAATGAAATGGAAGTATCAAACTTCTTCACTGTTTGAAATTCACTACTGTGAGAAAGATCAATGTTTCTTCCCTAAAAATAATATTAAAATTAGTTTTCAACATTCGTTAATCTTACAATTATTAATAACACAAAAGCAGATTATATGCTTCAAGATTTCACTAGATCAATTTAAAATTCTATGCCACTGACATTTTTCATAGTTACAATAAAATATTTTAAATTCTCAGTTTTCAAATAAAGAAGTTTAAGTTAACATGTAAGAGGCAAATTACAAAATCTTATTTTTCTTTTTCTTTAATCCTCACCTGAGGACATGGCTTTAAAAAATTGATTTTTAAAGAAAGAGGAAGAGCGAGATAGAGAGGGAGAGAGGGAGAGAGGGAGAGAAAGAAACTTTGATGGGTTGTCTTCCATATGCATTTGACTGGGAATCAAACCCACAACCTAGGTGTGTGCCCTGAACAAGAATCGAACCTGAAACTTTTTGGTGTATGGACTGATACTTCAACCAACTGAGCCACCCGGACAGGGCACAAATTTTATATTTCACAAAAGCATGGTTCTCGGTGTTTTTAAAGCTAGTTTGGTTTATTATCTAAAGTAAAAAGGAATTATGCAAACTTGAGTAGTTAAGAATAAGTACTGTGGCATGTTTTTCCTCAAAAGTTATTTTTTTAATGTTGTTATACTGATTTTAATAAAAAAAGGGGAGGGGGGGGGAACAGGACTAAGCCTGTTATAGTCATAAATAGCCTTCTAAATAATTTCCCTGGTCAGAAACTTCTAAATTACAACCAAAGACCAACCTTTACTTAGTTTTTTAGTTTTAATAACATGGAGATTTTTATAATACTTTCTTAGCATTTTTACTAAAAGATTAAATAAAACCTTGTATTTTTATAGTATTATACAATTTATAAGCACTGTGATTTAGATCATTGTAATTTTGAGCATTACAGACTACTCAGTTAAGTAACATTATCATTCCCATGTTATTGATTTAGAAAACTGAGATTTATAACAATTAAATAATTTGCTCAAAGTCATATAAATATTTATAGAGCACTCTCAATACCAGGGACTGGGGGATGTAACACTGAACAAGATAGTTAATAATTCTTAACTTCCATGGGACGTATATTTAATTTTTTAAATATAATTTTTTATTGATTTCAAAGAGAATGGGAGAGGGAGAGAGAGAAACATTAGTGATGAGAGAGAATCACTGACTGGCTGCCTCCTGTACACCTCATACTGGGGATGGAGCCAGAAACCCCTGACCAGGAATCAAATCATGACCTCCTGGTTCCTAGGTTGACACTCCACCACTGAGACACATCGGCTGGGCTGGAACGTATATTTTAGTGGTAGTGTTAGAACCCAAATTCAGAACTTCTGATCCCAAGTACAATATTCTTTTTGTTTGTGAATTTTGTTTTAAACCCATTTGTTTAAACTTCACATTTAAGAAACTTACCATATACTATATACTAGTACTGTCAGTTACTATACAATTAAAGATGAAGATATAGCCCAGCCAGCGTAGCTCAGTGGTTGAGCATCAACCCATGAACCAGGAGGTTACAGTTTGATTTCCAGTCAGGGCACATGCCCCGGTTGCGGGCTCGATCCCAGGGTGGGGCATGCAGGAGGCAGCCAATTAATCATTCTTTCTCATCATTGATATTTCCATCTCTTTCTTTTTCTCCCTTCCTCTCTGAAATCAAATATATATATATATATATATATATATATATATATATATATGGGCGTGTGTAGGTGTGTATATATTATATATATATTAACACACACACATATATATAAATAAATAAATAG